AGTAATCATATTTAATGCATTTCTATTTATAGATATAAAAGTAATAAAAATAACCATTTTGCTGTCAGTTTTTCCAACATCACAATATATAGTAACAGTAAATCCATCGTCCCTGTATACACTGGCATCCTTGACATATCAACACAAATACCTGCACCAAAGATGGTTGCTCTTTGAAACATTTTATAAATAATTCCAATTATATTAATGACTGATATTTTTGAGACTACTAAATTTTCCATTGAAGTTATGCCATTCTTTTACAGTGGTAAGAAACATTTAAAAAATATTCTGTCTTACAATGCTGACCTGAGAGAAAGAAAAAAAAAATTTCACAATTGTTTTATTTCAAAATACATGTGAAATGAAACTGGATCAAATCATTTCCGTCATATTTGTCTTTGTGATAACAATATATTGGTGTTGACATATTTACGACTGACAGAGTATACAAAAAGTTAAAATATCACAAAGTGAATATATACAATTCCAAAAGGCAAAATGTAGTAAATATCGTATGATAAAATAACTATCAATTGTGTGAAATACTGTATATCAGGAATTCAGAGTGGGCATCTTAATTTTTAGCGAATTAAGCAATGCCTGTTTTATCTAAAAAGCTGGTGTACCTACTTGCACCTGAGCATTTTCTAGTCGTGAACATGTCTATGATTGATAAATACTTATCAGTATATTATATAGTATATATATAATGCTTATCTAGTTTGACTGGTTAGTTGGATCTCCAGTTGATGTTAAAATCTACACTCATGTCCATTCTTAAGTATTCAAAGTCTTCAAAATGGGCCTTCCACATTTCTGAGACAATGAAATTGCGAAAAAAAAAAATTGCAAAAATTTTTACGTTTTTGAGATTTTTGCAGAAACTGACAACCGCAAAAATTGACAACCGCAAAAATTGACAACCGCAAAAATATCCCAATATACAGTATTTAAGTCCACATAGCACATAAAAGTGCAACAGTGATTCTGGCCTAGACAATGGTGCATCTGATATTCAACAGAGAACAGAGCTCCTAGTCTATGTCGGTTGATTACATTGTATATAATACAAAGCAAAACTGGTTTCAAATACAAAAGCAATCTTTTGTAAGGTAAAATTTAATTTGCGTAGCTTGATTAAAGCCAGTTATATGAATTATGTGTCCTTTCAAACTTCCATCTTTTATCATAATGAATTTATTGCTATTTTATCATTTCTAATATATTCATTTTTACCTTTTTTTCACTTTTCATGAAATAACGATAACAAGAATTGCTTTCAGACAGACGGACGGACAGACGGACAGGCCTAGGACATCTGATAATGGAGTGCGAAAAATTTTCTTTTCTTTCATGCAAACCAAAAACAGTGAGGAGTTTATGAAATGACAAACTAGAATTCTATAACTTCTTTCAGGTAATATTGGTTATCAAAGACACCTTGTATTAAAAAAAGTGTGACCTGTTAATAGCAATCAATCATGGAAGGAATTTGATACCAATGATGTTGCCTTGAGAAATTTGTTTGATGCCTACCTCCACTCCTGATCAAGTAAATAAGATACTTTAACTGTCCTTAAACAATATTATCTATGGTAAGTATGACTTAAATTTGTCTATTTGACAGAAGGATGTTTTTTTTTCTTCTCTCCCCCCCCCCCCCAACCCCCTCTTGAATTGATTGTTGTTACATGAACATTAAATCAGGTTGTAAATCTCGTTTTGTGAATAAACAGGGAATATTGAATATGAAAGGAAATCAATATTTACCAATCATTATTAAGTTGTACAAGAAATGGTCAAAGCAATTTAATAACTACCGGCCGTTCATCAAATGGAACAAAACAATACCATCATATTATACTTCATTCGCTGAAACAATATATTTACAATATTTTATTGAACATGGCAAACATCAATATTATGAAGGTAATTTTCGAAAAACATCAGAAATACTTAAACATCTCTAAACAGATGATATATCTTCATGTTAAGAAGTCAGAAAAAGGCGTGGAACGGATTACAAAGGTACTAAACACATGACGTCAACAATGTAAATATGTATTGGCGATTGATGATAAAAAATGCATAAAATTGCAAAAAGTGTCACCAAGATATGTCTGTATAATGAGGAATGAGCAAATAGTGCATAAGATTCACATTTTGAGCGTTTAATAACAGAGATTTTGGTTACACATTTGATACAGGACATGAAGAGATACTGGATATCATCCCAAGTAATTGTAAAGCGATATACTTCAAGGAATTTTACAAATCATTGGAGATCTTTATTAGACCCCAAAAAGTAACTTTTTGACTCTATGATAACCAATTCTCTTAAAAAAAACAACTCTGATTTGATTTGGTTTATCTGAAGGCTAAGACAAAGGTCCTTACTGGGGTTTCTTGATTTTAATAAAAAAAAATATATATATCAATTATTATAATAACTGAAACTTCAGACTTGCACCTCAATAAAGCACAATGCAAAAAAATTGAGAAATTATCAAAAACAATAAAAAACCCATTTTTTACATACACAATTTCTTTTAAAGGAAACAAAATTACATTGGCATAAAACTGTTGTTTTTTAAATATAGAATCAGAATTACGATCTAGAATTTAGTGTTTTATACATCTGTACAGGATATGATTACTTAAGAAATTTTTGCAAATTTTTTCACCTTTTCTTCATTATATAAAAACTTATATGCATAGATTTCAAAACAACAATCTGTAAACAAACAGACTTACATACCACCGTTTTAATGTAAACCACTCAGATATTTTGTCCTTACTTGACATGGGCCCATGGCATCTTATTTGATTGAGACGAGTCCGATGACGAGACTCTCCTATTCGGAGGATTCGGGCCGGAGGATTAGCTATTTAGTATATTTTGTTATATTGTTAATAAAATTATTGATCCTATTTTCGTCTTTGGGTTATTTTGGATGACAGATAGGCCAAGTTATCGTTCCTTATGACGAAAAATCCAAGATGGTGGACACACGTACATCTCGTGAACAGGGGGGTTTCCCACATATAAGCCCCCTCCCCTCTTTTGACACTCTTTTTTTAACTGGGTGTGGGGGCTTATTTGTGGTAAAATACGGTATTTAAAACTAAAAACATTGAGCTGTTCTTTTCTTATGAACATGTCTAACAATTCTTGTTATCTTATATAATTCACGATGAAAAAAAAAAAAAAAAACTTTCATACAATTATGATTAATGAGAGATAAGCAAATTGAAAATAAATTATTTGGATTGTCATCAATTTGATTGATCTTATAAAACTGATATATTTTGTTAATAAATCTATTAAAAATACTTTATCACACACAATATCCATGGAGACGTTGATTGTGGGTCCACCAAAATTTGTTCTGGATTGAATTGTTTCAAAAGTAAATAATTTGTTCGTCTGTGTTATTTGATATCATTTGTTATATCATTTAATCTGATAATTTGCTGTCAGTTGTTTTATCTTAAGAAATTTCCACCGACATTAAATTTAAGGTTTTCAAGAATACCTTTAAAGAAATATTAGCATGTGTATCCGTAGCAAATACAGAAATCTAAATGCTTAATGAATGGTAGTGAATATCTTATGAATATCCTATAATTATCAACACACATCTATAATAAATCTTGAGAATCTCCTACTAAAAAATTGAATTAACTGCTTCATATGTTTCTATCATTGTTGAAGTAAAATAGCTGATTCTACTTTGATAATACAAAAAAAAAGTACAATTTTTATTTGAAAGTTTTTCAGTTTGTTGTGTATTGCGAAAAGTATTTGTCTCTTATCAAGTCTTCAAATATGAATAACATTAATAAATCCTGGTTTCAACAGATATTAAAATTTCATTTTGAAATTTTTAAAGAGAAAAAAACAAATCTTCTTTTACATCTGCTAGTATTTTTAAAGCAACAATTCATAAAGAATATTGCAATATTAAAAGAATTTATATAATTTTCAGGGGAAAAAAAAGTAAAAAAGAAAGTATATATATATATATATATGGCGACATATCCATCTGTAAAATTTGCTATATAGAATATTTTTACATTTCAAAAACTATTATCTCAGACCTGAAAATATAACATTTTATTTTTTACTATCCTATTCTCTCATGTTCCCCTAGTTTGATTTTGTGAAACAAAATATGTCTTAAAATAATTTAGAAGAAAGAATGACATAATTCTGCTAATTAAAGACAGTTAATTATCAACAGAGAAAACAACCCACATAAACAATGGAAGAAATCATAAAGTTTTCAAAACATATTTTCATATTCTTATTTTATTATAATATAGCACTGAAATTATTGAAAATATAGAATTTTGATGAAATAATTGTTTTACTAGCAATACATATCTACCATCTACAGAAAATCTAGCATAATTAAGCTCAAAAATGAAAAATGATGATCAATTTGTGTTTTCCTTGTATTCAAAGCTAGGCAGCAAAATCCCAAAACCAGCATTCAAAAAGCTTAATTACGTATTGCTCAATTCATAGAAGGTAAAATGAATGTTACTTTGGTACAAAAATTAATATAAGGCTCCATTTTCCAAAGGTTCTCTATACAAATAGTATTTTCAAATACAAATATGCTAAACTTCACATGTGTAATTCTTACTGCACAAATATCAAGATTTTAAAAAAATAACAATATCAAATGTGAAAGGTTAAAAAGTTCAACAGGGTCAAAGTGATTCATTACACAGTTTCAAGAAAGTACACCGGCATTAGAAAGGTCAAAGTTCAACAAGGGTGAAAATAATGATAAATATATGTATAAAAATGATGTTTTAATCATCTGAACCACCAAGAGAAATAAATTTCATCACAGAAAGTTTAATGGTTAAAAAAGTCATGATCATTCAGAAAATTTCTTAATTTTTTACAATAGCTTCCTCTAACCATTTTCTCTTTTAATCAGGACAAAATATTTACACAAATCCAGAATGACCTTGACCTTGTGTCACGAATCTTCCTTCAGTGGTGAATCAACATGTGCATCTGAAGAAATTTTCCTGAAACAAATACCAAACTACATATAGATCTCCGGTGTATATAAATGTATCTGTACACTTTTTATGCATGTATGAAAAATAAAAAGTATCCTACTATATAGTAAACACCCACCCCTTGTATAAAATAACAACCCCTCCCCCCCTACCCACCCATCCACCCACCTTCCCCTGGGTGCTTTCGATACACCTTTATTTAAAAAAATGTATCCCCAGATACAACTGTCTGAACTTCCCTTACAAAAATCTTACTATCTTTTCAACTTTTTTTTATCTCTCACAGTCAAGGACAAGCATTACGCACCTTCCACCCCTCCCCCATCCCCCAAATCTTACATCTCCTGGACACTTTTTATACACATGTCTAAAACGTACCCCCATCTAACAAAAATCTTCAATTTTTTTTTATCATTTTTGATTATCAAGTACCCTAACAAGTCACCATATGACTAGAGAAAGACTAGGAAATGTATACCCATCCCAGAAAGACTTAATTCAGACTATTTTCACATTAAGTAAAAAAGGAAATTTTGTTGGTGATAGCTAATTTATTATATTATTTTATTAAACACTTTCAAATTTATTCAGTAATTCTGATTGTTTATTTTTTACAATAGGTGGTTTAACTTAGCTTAACTGGAAGTTTCTTAACTTAACCTGATCAAGAAACAAAGCACTTATTCAAAATACCATATAGTTTACCTTTTCATTACATCATGGAATGTATCTGGAGCTGAATGTGATCTCCCTTTCTGGAACTCTTCTTTTACATGAGACTTGTCCCGGTAGGGATTTCTGAAAGATTTCTGTTTCAGAATACTCTTCACTAATATCTGGAACAAAACAAAGATACATCTTAATAACTTATATCATTAATTCTTTATCTTTATTTTCCCCTTAATTCTCGAGAAAAGTCCACTATAACCTTTTTTGACAAATGTTTCCATTTTTTATCACAAAGAAAAAAAAAGTAATTTTTGTAAACAAAAAGGATATCCACTATTGTAACAATAAAAAAGAGTGTTTGAAATCATTCAAGCTTTACAATCAAAACATTTAAAAATCTTTTTGATCAAATGAATCATTATAAGTCATTTAGCAAAGTAATATAGTTTGAAATATGAATGCATCGTTTGAAATATACATTTATACTATTCCACAGCCATGTTAAGGTCAGCAATCTGATTGTATGTATGCATTATTCCTACATTAAAACTAAACAGCTACACAAAACTGGATTGGACTTTATTCCTCAAAACTGCTAGGGATATATGTCCTTCCATTAAGACAAATTAGAATACATGTAGGAAGTGTGTGTTTGCCTTAGCGGGGTAGACTTGTCTATGTTCGTTTAAAGATGGTCTATAGATAAGGCTTACTTTTTGAAGGCTTAGAAAATTTGAACATGCACAATCTTACAAATATAAACTCGGAAAAGAAGATAAACAATGAGGAAATGTTAATAACAAAGTATCAGTGAAACAAATGAATAAAAGGGCAATAACTCTGTAATTAAAATGATGCAGGACTTGAATTTGGCATACTACACAGTACCTAAGTATGATCAATGTATATACCAAGCTTCAAGTTTTATGTTGATACCTCTTACAGTTTTTGCGATATGCTATGTATCAAAAATTATGACGAATGGACAGGCGGAGGGACAAACATGGGAACAAACAGCCAGACCGACAAAGTGCAAACTATATGATTTCCATTCCAGGAGCATAAAAATGAAAATCACACAGACGATTATCGTGTTTGTTACAGTAATACACACCACAGTTTCAATCTTTGGCACATGTTTCACGACATTGTTGATATCCTCCTGTGTGACGGTAACCAGAATGCAGTTTTCTTCCTCTGTGGGAAGTGGGAACTCACCATCCTTCGTCACCCAGGGATGCACCTATAAAACATAACACTGCAGTATATTAGAACAGAACACTTACACTTGTTAGTGAGACAAGGGCATGTCAACCATTTTAGATTGAAAAGAATTTTGAAAGTCTCAATATGCCAGGTCTAATTAATGAGTTAAGATCAGGCAATATACTAATTTGTGGTAAGTCCATCTGTATTTCTAGCTGTCCAGGAGCATTGCTGGTCAAATCCATTCCGATGTCCTTAAATAAGCCCAGCCTTAGACCCTCTAGGATAAATACAGTATTGATAGGAATTGGCTTACTTCCAGCATTTTAAGTTTTAACTATTTATAAATTATACATATTTAATTCAACATCGGAAAAACCTGCATATGCTTTTAAATGAATTAGTTAGTATACCTATTTTCAGAAAATCAAGACAAATTTGTCATTCTGTGTTACACCATAAATTTGTCTAAATATATATACATGATGTCAGAATACAGAAGCCTGATGCGGAAACATGCTGTTAAGTCTGTTATTTTGCAGTGGTTCTAATTTTCATGATTTTCTCAGCTGTATTTCAACCACAAAAATAAGGTTTCAGTCAAAATTTAGTCCGAAATAGATTATTTACTGCAACAAGTATTTTCCTGCTCCATCTACAAACTGATTCTGAGAACTGTAAGTGATGTAAAGACATTTAAAATTTACCAGTTTATTTAAAAACTTACTGTAGATATAACTTTCATTAAGCTTTGGAGGTAGGAATTCATTTGGCAATGTAGAACTATATAATTTATAATACTTGATATTCCAGCACGTCATGATTCACAGCAGGGGAAATTAATCATGCATAATTTTCAAATTCACTTAAACTACAAAAATTCAGTCCAGCATAAAATACTTAGACGGTATAAGATATGGGATTTGATGTTGTATTAGACAAGATGTCGGAATTCTCAGTTGTCAGACTAGACAGGTTCTTGTGTAGATGTATGTGTACCTTGATATCAGGCAGAAGAATTCTATTGTTCGGGTCTTTTTCCAGCATCTTAAGTATCAAATCCTTCATCTGCTCCGATATCTTAGGCCTGAAGTAAAAACAACAGCAATTCTATCTCAAACATCAAGGGAACAAAATTACAAGATTTTGACTTTTTATTGTGGATGGATATCAATTATAACTGAATCTAGATTTATCAAATGAAGAAAAATTGCATATGGCTTCTTAAAAATGAGTTTTTAGCTTTGACTTACACTGATGGAAATGTAACTGGGTCATTCAAAATGCGTCTGTGTAAACCCATAATGTAGTCATCTTTTGGAGGGAAAGGAACCTGTCACAAAATATAACAGCATCTATCTATTAACACTACAACGTACCGAGTATCAAAGACAAATTTTTAATGATGGTGTGGTCTCAAATGGCAAATAAAAGATGCAGCGTTAATATCAATTTTTAAAAATGTCACTAGCAAACATAAATTCATAAGCAAAAGATCCCAGTGGGATTCTAACACCCACCATTGAATGATCTCTATTGGTTTTATGCAAGACAGATATTTTCTTTACTGTTCTCTTTGTCTGCCTTTTTTACTTAATCATTTGATAGCAAGGGAATCTGACATACGCAATATAAGAAAGACCTAACACAACCTTTCTGAAAATAGCAATAACATTCAAAATCTAAGATTGCCATCTGTTCTGAATAGACATAAGATTATATGGACCAAGGGGAACCTACATATCAAGTCTGAAAAGTATCCTTCAAGTAATTCTCAAGAAATGGTGATAACAAACTGAAACTGTCAAAATCCAAGATGGCCACATGTCAGCCATTTTTTTTTTATCAGTCCCATAAAAATAAATAAATGACCAAGAGGAACCTTTACATGAAATTTGAGAAATATCCATCCAGTTCTTTTTTTCAGTAAATAACAATAACAAACATTCAATTTCAAAATAAAAGATGGCTGTCTGTCTGCGAATTTGTTTTTCCTGATCAGTCCCATAATCAAAAGGGCACAATTAATGACCAAGGGTAACCATGATATAAAATTTGAGAAATATCTATTCATTTCTCCTCAAGAAATTTCATTTTCAAAAAAATCCAAAATTGCCACTGTCAGTTATTTTATTTTTCTGATCAGTCCCAAAATCAAACAAGTACAATTTGGGAAACATCTAGTACTTTTCAGGAACAGCGATAACAAGAACTGTTTACAGACTGATGACAGACACACCACAGACAAATGGTTATAGAAACAGCCCACTATCTGATGTTAATGGGCTTATTTAAAAAAAATGGATATGTCAGAACACAAAAACAGAGAGTTTATCATCATATAACTGCCTGTTACGTAGTGAAACGTAACTGGCATTATAAACATTTGAGAATTTTTTTGCCTGCACCAGTCAAACACGGAGTCATAAATTGGAAAAACAAATTGGCTACCCAAGTTTGATCTTGCCCTCTAAATTTTCACCATAAAACTTTAAAAAATGTGATTTTCTGAGCATATATATATTTTCTAAACAATTTTCATTTCATCTGTGTGTTAACGAAACTTGCCTCAAAGCCATAAACTTTGCTTGCCAATATCAAGGCTCGCAACAATAAAAGATTTGTTTAATAAAATCCCGTATAAAACGAAAACTCGTTTAAAATCATTTATCTGCCCATTTTAAAACTAGAGACCTTCAGATTTTTAATTCTGATTTTCATATTTTTTAATTTATTTTGAAAATGAAGTGTTATATCTTGAAAAAAACAAAAAAGGGAACTTTTAACAGTATTAAGCATGAACAAAAAAACCTGAAACATTTGGAAAAAGAAAACAGTAAAAGTATTATGGATACTTGTGTTCTATACCAGTAGTTCAATTGTTGAAATAAAAGAAATGTACAACACAAATGTCAAACTGAATGACTCTAATTATTAGAGATAGAAATATATTATATGACAATACCTGTCCAAACACAAAGCTATATAATGTAATTCCCATTGCCCAAATGTCTAGAGCCTTCCCTCCGAACTCTTCTTTGCCATCTGTAAAGGAGACAAAAAACATCTGATCACATGACAATGAAAATAATAATGTCCATTGATTGGACAACTGTGTTACATAAGTCTGTCTATTACCAGCACGAAGAAACGAATCAGAATTTTTTTTTCTTCTTCTATTTTTTTTTTTTTTTTTTTGAATTTTTATATAAAACTACAAAATGTCTGTAAGACATGAATGCCCCCGCCCCCCCCATGTGAAATAATAGTGAAAGGTCTGAAAGAGATGATTTTGTTAATTTGTATGCAACTATGTACAACTTAAGTTTCATACTTAAATTGACAAGTTGATTTAACGTACATGAATTTGGAATTTTGTTCTCTGGAAAAAATGAGGGAGTATATTAGTTCCTTATGCCTTAAAACCCAAAAGTACCAAATTATGTAGAAATAAGATGATGTTCCTCTTTTTTGAGTTATCTCCCCCTGGTGGCCATCTTTTTTTAGAATGCCGAGAAATTCAACACTGCATGAGGTCTTTCCATACTTGATATTTGTATGAAGTTTCATGAAAATTGCCTTCCGAATGAAGTTGTTAGGTGGTATATACTGATTTGGGACGGGACGCGACGGGACGGGACGCGACGGACGGACATGGGCAACGCTATATGCCCCCGGCCATAAATGGCGGGGGCATAAAAAAGAAACTAGATGAACTGACATAACACAAATGCCCATTCCTATAACAATGGAGAAGTTTTTAACTTTTTGATGTTATTACATTTGTAAAGAGGAATACTCCTGACTTATCAGAACAAGTCATTATAATTCTTTAAGGTAAATGACCATTTTCAAACCAGAACTTGCCCAGCATATTGACATTATACAACTACATATCAAATGACACTTTTATATCTGTATCAGTTTAAGAGTGAATGAACAGATATAAAATTTTAACAGAATGACGAGCAAGGGTAACAACTGAATATTCTTCCAAACATGAAATTCAGATTTAAGACTTTGAAAGCATTGTCTGGTTTTTACCTTTAAGTGTCTCTGGGGCTGAGAAGGCAGGGGTTCCAGCTGTGTTAGTGAGAGATATATCTGTGCCTGTGAACTCATTACTCACACCAAAGTCAGCAATCTGAATAACAGTACAAACAATGATTTAATTAAATTTTAACCGACATTTAAATGAACGGTACCAAATTGTTGGAAAAGACAGTGTCAGTAAAGTTAGGGTTAACAACAGAATTCTTATGAGAAGCCTGAAGGCAAATACAACATCAGATTATTGCCAAGGCTTAAAAATTTTTTTACAGTTCTTTCTGTTAACTTTGTTTTCATGGTATCTAGTTAATTAAACTTTATTAATTTTACAACAATTGTGAAACAAGGGAGGAAACTGGAACATGCAGGGATAACCTACGTGAACTAATATGTGACCCCAATACCTTGACACATCTGTTCTGGGAATCAAAACTTATGTGCCCAGGTAAAAGTATGTTATCACATCTCCACCTGACCTTCTATCTATTTTATACAATCTTTTTTGTTTAAATGCCTGGAAACTAACAGTCTCTGCAAGACCTTTTTTCAGTGTATAATTTTGGATTCCTGATGGCAGATCAGGGAGTCCAGTATGGTTGTGGAAAAGGTTTCATTCCAGTTATTTTCTGTAACAGTTCTGACCTTGATGTGTCCATCATCTCCTAATAGCAGATTTGACGGTTTGATGTCCCTGTGAATTATCTTCTGGAAATGCACTGAAAAAAAACATAAATAAATAAATAAATAAATAAATAAATAAAAAATAAAAAAAAAATTTGAGTGCACATTCTACAAAAAGATTTGAAAATGTTTTTGAAAACGGCAATATAACTACAGTGTTACACAATAATCCTGACTGACTAATAGAAATCAAAGTTTTTCCTCAAGAAACATTCTCTGTCGTAAAACTTATATCACATTTTTTATATCTATATTGTAAGCATAATGTAAGTAAATGAGGAGTCTTTTGGTTCGTAATTGTGGAGGATCATGATGGGAAATAGAAATTATCTGAACTGGTACATGTGGGAACGGTATAAAGAAAAAGGGACATAACTTTTGTAACTCTGAGTCCAATTTACTGAAAATTAAATTCAGGTGGGAAAATCAATCATTACAGCAGAGCTTAAAAAAATTCAACAATAATTATCTTGATTACCATGAAAAAATAGAAATCTCCGAGATAATCACAATAAAAAATACAAAATTCCTTGACTATAACAAAAAAAAACCTGAAGATGCTCTTGAAAAAAAGAGGAAAATCCTTTGATTATCAAAAATCTATATATAGAAGGCATATCTTCCTCCTGTATGGCATCAATTATCAAGAATTACAACACATAGTCATTGCTAAACAGTGTTAACTACGTACAGTATTCTATACCAACAACGATGTCCCTGAAGTATCTCCAGGCAGTGTCCTCTGATAGAGGAGTGGGCGTCGGCACCTCCAGTACCTCCCTAAACAGGAGTAAAACAGAAAAAACACATTTAATACCTTATCATACGATTGGCCAAGGGTACAATCCATTTTTCAATTAATGAAATATTATAAAAACATTATTCCTTTTTGTGGGGAATTTTTAAGCCCTCGAATCAAAAGGCATATTGTTTTTGTCTTGTCTGTTTGTCTAATGTCAGCTTTAACCTTTGCCTATAACTATTGCACAGTAAGAGGTTGGGTCTTCCAAATTTGGCATTTGTGTGATCCTTGTGACAAGAAATTTCCATAGGTACCAAAATTTCGGCCATGTTACCTTGATCATGACCTTTGACCTACATTTGAAATTTGAAAAAAAAAAAAATTTCAAAATGAAGACAATGAAGTGTTTTACAAAGTGTGCATGCAATTAACACATGGCTTACACAGTACAGCTTTAATGTCCCATTTCAGAATTGTTGCAACCAGGGCCATAGTGTTTTATAATCACATCTTGTGTTCCATTGATTTTGTTGGTAATTTTAATCAACAAATTCTGAAGTCCACAAACTGTTAGAACTATCGAAAGGAAATTTTATTGAGCTGTAATTGTCCATGAAAAATAAAGTGTCCACAAAACAGAAATGTTTGGGAAAACCACAAAAATTGAACCCCACAAAAATACATTATTTAACAGTAATGTCACACACATTGTGTACCTATATACCAGTGTAGATTCTGATATCTCTGAAAGGGCTCTAATGAACCCTGTGTACTATATACCAGTGTAGATTCTGATATCTCTGAAAGGGCTCTAATGGACACTGTGTACCTATATACCAGTGTAGATTCTGATATCTCTGAAAGGGCTCTAATGAACCCTGTGTACTATATACCAGTGTAGATTCTGATATCTATATACCAGTGTAGATTCTGATATCTCTGAAAGGGCTCTAATGGACCCTGTGTACCTATATACCAGTGTAGATTCTGATATCTCTGAAAGGGCTCTAATGGACCCTGTGTACCTATATACCAGTGTAGATTCTGATATCTCTGAAATGGGTCTAATGAACCCTGTGTACCTATATACCAGTGTAGATTCTGATATCTCTGAAAGGGCTCTAATGGACCCTGTGTACTATATACCAGTGCAGATTCTGATATCTCTGAAAGGGCTCTAATGGACCCTGTGTACCTATATACCAGTGTAGATTCTGATATCTCTGAAAGGGCTCTAATGGACCCTGTGTACCTATATACCAGTGTAGATTCTGATATCTCTGAAAGGGCTCTAATGGACCCTGTGTACCTATATACCAGTGTAGATTCTGATATCTCTGAAATGGGTCTAATGGACCCTCTGTACCTATATACCAGTGTAGATTCTGATATCTCTGAAAGGGCTCTAATGGACCCTGTGTACCTATATACCAGTGCAGATTCTGATATCTCTGAAAGGGCTCTAATGGACCCTGTGTACCTATATACCAGTGTAGATTCTGATATCTATGAAAGGGCTCTAATGGACCCTGTGTACTATATACCAGTGTAGATTCTGATATCTCTGAAAGGGCTCTAATGAACCCTGTGTACCTATATACCAGTGTAGATTCTGATATCTCTGAAAGGGCTCTAATGGACCCTGTGTACCTATATACCAGTGCAGATTCTGATATCTCTGAAAGGGCTCTAATGGACCCTGTGTACCTATATACCAGTGCAGATTCTGATATCTCTGAAAGGGCTCTAATGGACCCTGTGTACCTATATACCAGTGCAGATTCTGATATCTCTGAAAGGGCTCTAATGGACCCTGTGTACCTATATACCAGTGCAGATTCTGATATCTCTGAAAGGGCTCTAATGAGCCCTGTGTACCTATATACCAGTGTAGATTCTGATATCTCTGAAAGGGCTCTAATGAACCCTGTGTACTATATACCAGTGTAGATTCTGATATCTCTGAAATGGGTCTAATGGACCCTGTGTACCTATATACCAGTGCAGATTCTGATATCTCTGAAAGGGCTCTAATGGACCCTGTGTACCTATATACCAGTGTAGATTCTGATATCTCTGAAATGGGTCTAATGGACCCTGTGTACCTATATACCAGTGTAGATTCTGATATCTCTGAAAGGACTCTAATGAACCCTGTGTACCTATATACCAGTGCAGATTCTGATATCTCTGAAAGGGCTCTAATGGACCCTGTGTACCTATATACCAGTGTAGATTCTGATATCTCTGAAATGGGTCTAATGGACCCTGTGTACCTATATACCAGTGTAGATTCTGATATCTCTGAAAGGACTCTAATGGACCCTGTGTACTATATATCAGTGTAGATTCTGATATCTATGAAAGGGCTCTAATGGACCCTGTGTACCTATATACCAGTGTAGATTCTGATATCTCTGAAAGGGCTCTAATGGACCCTGTGTACTATATATCAGTGTAGATTCTGATATCTATGAAAGGGCTCTAATGGACCCTGTGTACCTATATACCAGTGTAGATTCTGATATCTCTGAAAGGGCTCTAATGGACCCTGTGTACTATATATCAGTGTAGATTCTGATATCTATGAAAGGGCTCTAATGGACCCTGTGTACCTATATACCAGTGCAGATTCTGATATCTCTGAAATGGGTCTAATGGACCCTGTGTACCTATATACCAGTGCAGATTCTGATATCTCTGAAATGGGTCTAATGGAAACTCGGATACCACAAACATTTTCTGGTATACTCTACATAAAACTGTCACAAAGGAAACATTTAAGAGGGTCAAAATGTAACATCCGGAACATTTTAAGAAACATGTTAGCTGCAACATTTAAGGAAAACTCTCCATGTGCTATAAAAGCCTCCTGAATTTGTTCTGATTTTCCAGTATGGTATTGATAAAATTTCTTCACAAAGGCCACCAAGGTTTACCATAATTTTGTTAGTAGTAGGCTGTGTAGTGAAAGTAGGAGGCTGGCCTGCCGTGTACGTGTATGGAACATTATTACGGAACTGGATTGGTGTAGGCGGCCAAATCATCAAAGTAGCCGGTCAAATTGGCTGGCAACCGGCTCTTATGGAAAACCCTGGGCCTCACTAAAAATTATTTTTCAATTATTCCATAAACTATATGTTAAATGGAAACCTATGGTTAGATGTTATCATATTTTCAAAAATATCATGAATACTCACCCCTTTTCAAGCAGCTCAAAAACTGAAAAAATAATTGTTAAAAGATATATACTAACAATTCTTTCATCGAAATAAATATTTCTTTCTTCTATCAAAAGTGTGCTGCAGTTTAATTCATTATTTTACTCTGCTGTCTCTCTTTCTAAATTTGCATCGAAGGGTGCTATTCTCTTGTTTCTTAATTTAGATACCTGTAACTGAGAGATTTGCTATTGATTGAAAAGTATTGTTTTTACTTATTAACAAGAAATTTCCTTTTTTGGCTTCACGAGACTTCACGACCCTATGGTCAAACAACTTTCCCAGCTGTACCAGTTCTGAAAATAAAACATTTTCTAATCCATACACTAAATTTAGAAATTGAATTGCGCAACTCACCCATATATAAATTATCCTCGTCTGGATCATCTAACACTTCAACCAATCGCACAATATTTGGATGATCAAGTTTTTTTAGAATGGCGATTTCTCTATACACTCTTTCCAAGGGATTCGGAGGGTGTGCCATAGGTTTTCCATCTCTTGCAGGGGGTCGCCCTATCATTAGACAAAATAAATAAATCATCTATTCTACAAATAGCAACAGTATTTTCTTTGAAGATTTTTTTTACAAATGCTGAACTTTCCATGATAACGTTTGGTGAGAGTGAAATTTTCTAGTCTATTTCCTCATAAAAGGTAAAGAACCATTTTAACCATATCAAATTTGTATTCAATCACAAGGAACTCACAAGTTTATTCTAACTTTCAGTTATCTTTAGTACTTACGAAAGAAACCAGCCTTTTTCATCAGCCGTTTCTTTGATAAAATTTTCATTGCCTGAAAAAGAAATGAATACAATCAGTGATCGCTTGATAAGAAAAACTACAAGTCACGCACAATCATTTAAGCCAAAGACTGTTACAAGTGATCCTTGAGGAATCAAATTGTCAACACCCATCTAAGGTCGTAAGAATAAAACCTCAAACAAAAAATGACCTTCATAAACAACAATTTCATTATCAAATGTTTTAATGAGGATGAAAAAATGGTGAATTTATTTCTCACAGGCTCTGATTTGTCCCACTAAATTAATTATGATAATTTCTATCATTGGAAACATAACATGAGATTATGATACACTGCTTGGTAAAACTGACATAAACCGAAGAGCAATATTGAAAAACATTTATGGAATTAATTACTTTCAACTGCTGTGTTAAAGATCAAAGTATGGCATTATCACAATTGTGAGCATATGGAAGTTGATTAACCTAGACCACTTTAACCTTGACCTTTCAGATTGTCCTTAAATTAATGTCAAATCCAGGACCTAAGGAAATCAAAAGACAAAATTTGAAATCATCTGTAAAGTCCTTTCTGCGGTATAGTAATAATAACAGATAACAGGAGGTGACAGAAATGTGTAGTTTTTTTAAATTAAACTTTCCAGTACTAGAAAATGTCTATTGGACAGGAATGTCTTTGTTCCAAGTAAATCAGAATCTGATCAAATGTACTTTATATTATGTTACTATAGAGTACATATATATGAACTAAATGTCATTAGAGTTTCTCAAGGGTTGTATTATACTGTCCATCTCCATTTCTCCCCAATGAAATGATGCAATACATGCTCACCTCCCTACCCTAACCCCCACCCCAGCCCACCCTTAACCCCCACTTTCTCCCAATGAAATGATGCAATACATGCTCCCCTCCCTTCTCTAACCCCCTCCCCCACCCCCACCCCATCCCACCCTTAACCCCCACTTTCTCCCAATGAAATGATGCAATACATGCTCCCTTCCCTTCTCTAAACCCCTCCCCCACCCCCCACCCCATCCCACCCTTAACCCCCACTTTCTCCCAATGAAATGATGCAATACATGCTCCCCTCCTTTCTCTAACCCCCTCCCCCACCCCATCCCACCCTTAACCCCCACTTTCTCCCAATGAAATGATGCAATACATGCTCCCCTCCTTTCTCTAACCCCCTCCCCCATCCCCCACCCCATCCCACCCTTAACCCCCACTTTCTCCCAATGAAATGATGCAATACATGCTCCCCTCCCTTCTCTGATGGAAGCATAAAATAAAAACTGATTTACATTTACAAATCAGCTTTTTAATAAAAGGCATAAAGGAAAATATGTGTACTGATACATGTAAAGATGGACTTTGCATTATGTCAGACTCTGAATTTAAGTGTTACACTTCTATTGAATTTGAGTCTGTTGTGTTTTACTAACACAATAATTTGCCTGAGTAATTAAAAGAATATTTCAAATGAGACCTTCACCTTTGGCCTGGTGACCTTGACCTGAGGTCAAGCAACTTGTCATTTGATTTCAACTTACGATACTTTATGCTATAAAATATTTACCAGTAAAATATTTCAAAGTTGACATTGACCTTTGACCTGATGAACTTATTCTGTGGTTGCCCGACTTCTAATTTTTAACTATGATCTAGTGACCTTGACCGCTGAAGGTGAAAAGCAATTGAAAACTAGCACCCCTGTGGAGAAAGTCTTGAGTAGATATTTAACCAATTTTCTATCAATTAGTAACAGTGACCTTAACCTTTGATCCAGGACGCAAAAATCACTCCCTTTCAAAAGAAGAATTGAGTGAAGTTTTAGTACAGTTAATCCCACAGAACTTGAAATATTGTTCCAAAACAAAAAAATGGACAGACAGTTAAAGAAACCTGATTACTATAGAACACCTGCATCTTTGATGTGGAGCACTAATTAAGAAAAGAAATGAATTTTTCATTTTTCTTTCATTTCATCAACATCGAGAAAAAAAAAAAAAAAATGGACTGTACTGTTCTTCTTCCAAATAGATACATGGGAATCAATTACTGTCCTTTGTACTATTTTTACAAGTATCACCATCATAGACAGGTTTGCAATAATGAATCGAAAGAGAAGAAAATTACCAGTGTTAGCATCATATTTCCCCTTATTACATATCATGTTTATAGTGTATGTACTCCGGTAGCACTTCTCTATACTCACATAATTGAAGTCCTCTTCTTCGTTGTAAGCTAATTTTACAATACCATAGGATCCCTGCAGAATAAGATATCAATCAACATCCAATAAACTCTTGTAATTTTCTAGGAAATAATGTATCATGTAAGTTATTACAAGCAGCTTTATAACCTAGATGATTAGAGGAATGTTTAAAAAAGTCTGGTCCAGATATTACGACCAATATACCAGTAGGAATTCCAAACAATTATCTTGACAAAATTGGAGATAAAAAACCATTATAAATAATTCATACATTGATTTTGGAGAAAGTACATTATATGTTTTAGATAGATATTGAAGTTATATGAAGATAATAAATCTAATTCGTAAAATTACTTGGGTAATATCATATATATGCTCATATTTTCTCAAGGACTGCAAATGAATTTGATGTCAGGTGAGCTAAAAACTACTTCCTGTCTACATACATCTATTCTTGAAAAGTGTAACTCAATCTCCCCCTCTGAAGTATAGGTCAAATTTGAAGTTTTTTCATGTAAAACCAATTTTCATGATGTAATACTTACCATAACTTTAGTATGCAAATATGGTACCTACACCCATCTTTGTATCCCAAAAACAAAATTTTAAAAATCCTGCCCTCCCTACGATCTCATGAGCCATCACAACAGAGACATAGAGTTATCTCCCATCCTCGAAAAGCCCTTATGGAGCCCAACTGAGGGGCAGCAAGTCAGGAAAGGATGAGAAGAGGATAGGGTGGGACTCCATAAAGTTATGGTAAGTATTACATCATGAAAATTGGTTTCTACATGAAAAAACCTCAATTTCATTTCAGTAATAATGACCATACCATAAGTATGCAAATTCATCTTACCATAGTGGTGACTTGAAGCCAGGCAACTCATCTAGCACAGCAGAAAACATTAGGGAGGGGAAAAGGAGTGCCAGAAGAGTTGGGAGGGCCTAACAGAGTAAGAGTAAGTGCACAGTTACTTACTGTGCCACAACAAGCGGTCCCAACACATAGAGACCTTCAGAGTGGGAAGCTAGGGGTCACAGATAAAAATCTCTGAAGGTATCCCTGCCCCGCCAGAAGGCTGCAGACATTAACTCCTGAAAGGAGGACCCATTGAGGAGGGCCCAGGATGCAGCAAGGGCCCTGACCTCATGAGCCCGCCCATGCCTGATCATCAGAATGCTTGTAAGCATACTTAATGACCGGGCAAACTCACCTAGAAACCGAAGGAGAGGAGATATCTCGTTGTTCCCTGTTTGATGGGCAAAAACAGACGGGATTGAGAACATACCCCCCCCCCTCCTTGACTCCATGCTTTAGCTGAAGAAAAGCAAATTTTGCTTACCTTGCCAATCTCGGTTTTAAGCTGATACTGGTTAAGTTGAACGAATCCGTCGACATCTGAAATTGACACACGCCTTGTTTCCATGGTTGGGCGTCGCTTAAGGCGTGGTGAAGCGTTTGGTGAACTGTACGGGGAATGTTGAAGTGTTTTGTGAGGTCTTTCTACATTACAATTGTCTTCTGAATGACTGTACACAATTTTAGGTGTGTGTCTATTAGCAGCATTTGAAGTTTGAGTCACATTTTGATTTACGCTTTCAACAACTTCCAATGATGCTACTGATTCATTTGATGAATTTTGATTATCTCCCTTTGATGAAAGTGATTGGTGTGCTAACGAATGTGAAGGTGTATCAGGCACATACAAATGTCCTGTGGAGTCTGTTAAGGAGGATATGCGTAACTGACGACCTAGTCGACTTCCTGTATGTGTCACTGTGTCATCTTTTAATCCACTTTCATGTCTTTCATCACTGTCATCATTAAAGCTCCTTACCGAATCAGATGCAGGATTGGAACTCTTTTGTGTTAGAGGAGATTTTGAATATTGTGAATTAGCACCATTTTCTGTCAAAGTTCTATTCTTAGCTGACAACACATTCTCCTTGTCTTGAGCAATTAAACTGTGGTCTACATCTTTATGGTCACCAATGGCCTTGACATCTTTCCTTGACCAAAGGTCATTTGAAATCACTGCAGACTCATGGCGAGATTCCTGAGAGTTGTACCCTGAAGTGTTTGGCTCCTGGTCCTGACTTTGTTCCAGGCGACATTTTCTGAAAAAAAAAAATAAATAAATGAATAAAAAAACCCATTAATAAGCATGAATTAATTCTAGAAATTACAGGAATACAATTTGGAAGTTTGAAAATTTTTCATTTGATTTGTATAGTCTGAGTTGTAAGAGTATATATCATTAGAGTATATTCCAGCTCTTTCAAGGGATATGCCACTAGTGTAACCTCATATAAGGATAAGTAGCATTAACAAGTAACTGGCAATGTCACTTTCAGAATAAACTTCCCCCGTGTATTTTTTTCTGTAATTCATCTGCATTGACAGAAAACAGCTTCATCTTGGCACATGCATTAATTTTCTGAAATAATGACTGATAATTTTTTTCTCTACTTGATAGGATTACTATAAATGATTTTCATTGATAGTATTCTAAACATTTATAAAGAAAATGAAACAACTTTGCCATGGTATCAGAGTGGAGACTTGAAGCTAGATTTTCATGAAATCTGTATGAAATTATATGTATATACATCACGTATGCAGCTGAATGCCAATATACCTGAGTAAGGTATACACGCTTCAGACAAATAGTGATGAAGTTTATTAGAGTGAATTTTCAACAAATGTCACAATGTAATGAATACAAGATCAGATGTTTGAAATATAAGCTGTATTATGGCTCCTGACATAGAGAAAAAATATGGCTTGCCACTGAGTTGTCTCACTTTTTTAAAAATGTATCATCCCCAAAAAATATAACTCATGTTTGAAGACATTATTGAGTATAAATTCTATTTAGAGTGACCTCCCTTGAAAATTCATCTAAGGGTACAACCTCTTAAGTATATACCTCGTACATAATATATTCACTTTTAATCACTCATCCATTTACACTTTATAATCCATGATTGTTCAAATCTGTCAATAAGTAAAAGAAAGAACAAATTAAAAAAAAACAAAAAAGAAAACAAAATATCAGAAGATTCAAAAAGAAGTAAGTAGTTAAGATACTGACAGACAAAGACAAACAGAGACATACAGCAAATAACAGAGACAGTGAGACACTTTGAGACAGAGACAGACAAAGAGAGGAAGAGAGAGAGAGAGAGAGAGAATAACAGAGACAGAGAGACACTATGAGACAGAGACAGACAAAGAGAGGGAGAGAGAGAGAGAGACAGAGAGACAGAGAGACAGAGACTGGGAGAGAAAGAGAGATACAGAGAATAACAGAGACAGAGAGACACTATGAGACAGAGACAGACAAAGAGAGGGAGAGAGAGAGAGAGACAAAGAGACAGAGAGACAGAGACTGGGAGAGAAAGAGAGATACAGAGAATAACAGAGACAGAGAGACACTATGAGACAGAGACAGACAAAGAGACAGAGACAGAGAGAGAGAAACAGAGACAAAGATTGGGAGAGAAAGAGAAAAAAAAAGATACAGAGAGATACAGAGAATAACAGAGACAGAGAGACACTATAAGACAGAGACAAAGAGAGAAAGACAGAGACTGGGAGAGAAAGAGAGAAAAAAGATACAGAGGGATACAAAGAATAACAGAGACAGAGAAACACTATGAGACAGAGACAGACAAAGAGAGAGAGAGAGAGAGAGAAACAGAGACAAAGATTGTTAGAGAAAGAGAGAAAAAAGATAAAGAGAGACACTATGAAACAGAGACAGACAAAGAGAGAGAGACAGACAAACGGGCAGGCAGAGAAATACAGGGATAGAAAGAGAAAGAAACAGAGAGAGAAAGCATGACTGAGACAGAGAAAGACATCTATAGCACATCAGCACTAGCATGAGCATGGAGGATATTATTTAATCTGAATAATTCAGTCCAAAAATAATGACTTTCTTGATCAAATTTAAAGACAATTTTGTGATCATTAACTATTCCATCAACTTCTTCTGATTATTTCTGACACAAGATTCTGACAAAGTGGTCAACATAATCATGAAGATAATACATAGTGGACATAGCCATCTTCTGCTTGACACCGTTCGTCCCTACGGAATGGACATCTGCCCAGCTTATCATCAGATATATAAATCCATAACTGAATTTGTGACGGATATCTTTATAATAGTAACCATGTAATCAAGACCGTAACAACTATTAGGGGCACATTTTAGATATTCATATATGCATAATTCAAACTATATGTGACTGTATCTTTTTCATTACATCTATTTCCACTGCAGTTTTCAATTTTCGTTAAAAGCTTAAACATTCACAATTTCTGAGTGCCACCGAGATCAATTAATTGATACAGTCTATCGATGATAACCACGCTGAAATATATTTTTTATTTACTTGCCGAATTTCTTCAATGCTGTGGTTTTCCCCTTTCCATGAAAATCACACTATACCAAGTGAAAAAATATGACTGCCACAGGTTCTTTTTCACACGTATCAGATTACACCCAGTGATCTTGAGATTATATTATATACCATATTCACGACACAAATGCAAACCTGGTAGAATAACTGCCACAATATACTGAGCTTAAGACTAGTACCCAGAGCCCCTTGATTAATTGAGAAGAAGCTGTTAATAGATTTTAACATATTTGGTCCCTGTGACCTTGAAAGTGGGTCTAGGTCGTTGATTCGGACTAACTTAGTCGCCCTACATCCCAGCATGCTACAGGCCAAATATAATGATAAACTTTATTTATATTGCATCAATTGTGAAGCAATTTTTTCCAATATCAGCAGCTTGGACTTTTTGCTGATTAATGAGAAATAATTTAAATAGAATGTTTACACACAAAGATGGCGCACAACAGTAGGTGCACAACAGAAGGCCTACGATAAAGGAAGAAACACGCTGGCTATATGTCGATCATCTTCATTCACCCTTCGTGTCAGATGACCAAAATATCTTGACTCGCATGACATGGCATTTGTGTAGTCTTTATACAATAGCACCAGTGTATTGATATACCTGCTAATTACACACGTTCATTAAACCTTATCAGCACCAAACCCTGTAAGTTATACCATATTAATCAATTACTACCAGTAATCATTTCTGAGGTCTTGATTTTTTTTTCTTTATATAAAATCTTCAGCATTTATATATTTTTTCATCCTTGTTTTTTCGAAATTTATTTCATATTCAAAAATGATAGTAATCTATCAAAAAAATTTTGAAAAATAAATATGACCGACTTTTTTAAGGTGAGTAGTGGTCTGCCACAGATTAATTAACAAGCCTAGTTCAGAGACTTCATTCTTATCAAATGACAATTATCTTTGTTCCCAAACACAAAAGAGTTCTCAATGGGAGATAGGAAAAAAAACAAACAAAACATTAAATCCTATCTACTAATTGTATCAGAAGATTTCCATAAGATCACCTTGAGAAGTCTTCTGGTTAATCAATTCCAGCTAATTAACAAGATATTATCAATATTTAACATTTCTTTTATGTGTGCCATGTATTTAAAGAAGCCGTCTTCATATGAAAATCAGCTCCTAATGTTATGAAATATAGATTGAGCAATTACGCTTCTACCAATCCGTGGTCCAGGAGTGGTTATATCAATTTCCAATGAACTTTGAATATGAATAAAGGATTAATATTATACATGTACACAGTGTATGTATCCTTTTTTTTTCTTTCTTAAATAATGAATTATTTTTTCAATTTCCAAAAACGTATCACATTTACCTAATAAGGCTATCAGGGTAAGTGTTTAGTGTATCTGAATTTAGACATATTTTTTCACAAACAATATTTCAGGAACGGAATTTGACACATAACGCGTATATTTTTCTCCCTCATATCACGGTTAGCTTTAACACCAGTCTGTTATCCTTTGTTAGGGTTAGGTTGTCTTTTTATGTGATGAAATCTGTTAAGAGAATCTTAAGACAAGATAATGAATTGAAAGGCAAGATGTATACAGAAATTTAAGATATTTGCTGTATCTGGATATACTGGTTTAACAAACGTACCTGGTAGAATTCATATAGTTTATCCCATTGAAATTTTCCACACCTGCCACAATGACGAAAGACAAGTCTTCGTCATTTTCCATTCTGTCTGAGTATCAAGTCATATACAGTTTTTGTTGAAACAAGTAATTTTCTTCACAGGAATGTGGAAAATAACTTGACATATATGAACCGTAACGACTATCGTAAACCAGGATATTATGAAAAATAGCACAGTTTCCGAGATTGTGCTTACTTTGTTGATCAGTGACACCAACATCACAACCTTAAACAAATCTGTTCTTTGAGGCAGACTAAGTCTGTTTGAATTTCACTTTAACTCAAAAAATCACTGAACCATGTAAACAAAAACATTAAGATACTTAAAGTAAATGCTCTTGTCAAATCATATAATGATTTGTTAGCTTCCAGCGTATTAAATTTCAATTTTTTTTTTTATTTTTCAATGTAAATTTATTCACTTAAATAGAAAGAAAAATACACACTTCTTTAAGTGCATAGAAAATGGTTTTGATCAGTTTTTCCTTTTAAATTCAAACTACAGAATATGTATCTGATAAAAACATGTCTAATTCATAAGTTGACAAGTAATTTCTACAACAAAATTTAATGTTTATAGAACCTTCCCAAATTGAAGGCAGGTATAAGGTAACGCCACACCTTTGTACTGCCAAGTACAATTATCTATCGAAATGTGCCCCACACTTCTATACACATACACGCTATTGTCCTAAAGGCAAAGATTATCAGTAAAACTATACATCATAGAATCAAGTAAGTTCTATGCAAATTGAGAATTTAAAGGTAGGATAATGTCAACAAAATTTGTTATTTTCTGTCAACGATTAAATTTGAGTATGTCCATGGACACAATAACCATGAACGTATGAAGGAGAAGTTTCAGAAATTTCTGCTTTAATGACTCATAATTGTGCAAAACATCTTTATATAATTTCTTCCCAGTTTTTCATATCCCAATATCCTTCTCCCCCCCCCCTCCTCCCTCAAAAAAAAGTGTAAGAAGAATGCATATTGAACCAAAAATATGCATCACTTTCAACCCT